AGTCCCATATCTGTCAGTGAGTGTTTACAGACCTGTTTCTGTCAGTGTGTGTTTACAGACCTGTATCTATCAGTGAGTGTTTACAGTCCCATATCTGTCAGTGAGTGTTTACAGACCTGTATCTTTCAGTGTGTGTTTACAGCCCTGTATCTGTCAGTGTGTGTTTACTGCCCTGTATCTGTCAGTGTGTGTTTACAGCCGTGTATTTGTCAGTGTGTGTTTATATTCCTGTATCTACCAGTGAGTGTTTACAGTCCCATATCTGTCAGTGAGTGTTTACAGCTCTGTATCTGTCAGTGTGTGTTTACATTCCTGTATCTATCAGTGAGTGTTTACAGTCCCATATCTCTCTTGAGTGTTTACAGCCCTGTATCTGTCAATGTGTGTTTACAGCCCTGTATCTGTCAGTGTGTGTTTACATTCCTGTATCTATCAGTGTGTTTACAGTCCCATATCTGTCAGTGAGTGTTTACTGCCCTGTATCTGTCAGTGTGTGTTTACAGCCCTGTATCTGTCAGTGAATATTTACAGCCCTGTATCTGTCAGTGAGTGTTTACAGCCCTGTATCTGTCAGTGTGTTTACAGACCTGTATCCGTCAATGTGTGTTTACAGCCCTGTATCTGTCAGTGAGTGTTTACAGTCCCATATCTGTCAGTGAGTGTTTACAGACCTGTATCTTTCAGTGAGTGTTTACAGACCTGTATCTTTCAGTGTGTGTTTACAGTCCTGTATTTGTCAGTGTGTGTTTACAGCCCTGGATCTGTCATTTTTTTTTACAGCCGTGTATCTGTCAGTGTGTGTTTATATTCCTGTATCTATCAGTGAGTGTTTACAGTCCCATATCTGTCAGTGAGTGTTTACAGCCCTGTATCTTTCAGTGTGTGTTTACTGCCCTGTATCTGTCAGTGAGTGTTTACAGCCCTGTATCTTTCAGTGTGTGTTTACTGCCCTGTATCTGTCAGTGTGTGTTTACAGCCCTGTATCTGTCAGTGAGTGTTTACATTCCTGTGTCTATCAGTGAGTGCTTTACAGTCCTGTATATGACTGTGAGTGCTTACAGTCCTATATCTGACAGTGAGTGTTTACAGATCTGTATCTCTCAGGCTTTGCTTATAACACTGTTGGCAGCCTGTTCGATCGTTTTTGTGGTGGTTGATAGTGTACATGATAGTGGTCCCATTTTGGACTACAATCCCCAGCATCCCTCTGAGCGGGGCCTGGCCCAGCAGGTGACTGAAACTGACTCGGATCAGCTGGAGGGGGGAATCTTGCGTCAGTTTTAGTAAAACCCACCTCTGGCGGCAGGGACAGGAATCCAAACAACACACGCTGCAGCGAAAGCTCCACTCCTGACCTTCAGCGGGTAAGTGACTACGGGTTTACACAGAATTAGACCGAATTCCGGAAAACAGAAGCTGCTACATTCGTGTTACATTGTCACCAGTTGGGTGATATGTGGAGAGGAACCAGCGAGGCTACAATGTTGCCGGAGGGATCAATCTTACTTTTGACAGATGTCATTATTCTGATTGCTGTCCTTGAGTGCCAGGCGAGATTACTTAACCAATGTATAAAGTACTGAACAGAAAAGGCATTTAACCAACATGGTAGATCTGTATCACCCGGAGCAAATACCGGGATTGTAAGGGACAGAAAGTTAAGAGAGCAGAATGTAAGGAATGTTACTCCCATGTTGTTGCTCTCCCCGCCGCTGCCGAATTCCTATCGCGGATATTTATATCCCCCACAAGATGGTCCGGGTCTAACACGGGAGGAAAAGGCAGCGACCTCTACAGATTGCTGTTCACTCGATCTCTGAGGATTAAATCCCGGCACAGCAATCTGGAACCATCAAAAAAACTCATCTGCTCATTTCCCCCAGCCCCGCCTGCCAATTTAGAGAAAATTAATCTCACGTTCGGTAGAGTTCCTGCAGCACATTCCCTGCGGGCCGGGGCCGATCTCTTGATCATCCCGAGACGTCGGATAATTTTGCACTGACAGCCGGAATTTATATAGCGCCCTCCACCACCCCAAGCACCTTTGAACTGTATTTATTATAGTGCTCCTAAATGAGGTGATGGTCAGGGACAGGGACAGGTAGGTAAGGGGAGTCCGGGTCAGTGGTAGACAAGGACTTGGTTATCTGTTTGGATGTGAGAGTGAAGTTTGCCAGTGAAATAAACAACAGAAAGCAGGGCACGGCGGACTCGGGTGGTGATAGAAGGCAGTGTATTCAGCAAGCCTGATTCTGCCGTTCGAACCTGCTCGCCCACTGTTACTATCAGGGAATGTCATGGGGACCGGGTTTGAATCCTGTCATGGTGGAATATGTTTCTAAAGAAATTCTAGAAACTAGAGTCTAATGATGAACATGAGTTGATTGTTGGGGGAAAAAACACTAATGCCATTTTGGTCTAGTCTCCAGACCAAATGTGGTTGACTTTTAACTGCCCTCTGGGCAATTAGGGTTGGGCAATAAGTGCTGGCCTAGCCAGTGATACTCATGCCCAGTGAATGAATTTAAAAAAGCACTGAAGACCGTGTTCACTGCATGGTGCTAGGGTTCAAGATATCTTTTTGGGCTGGAGATGAACTTGGATTGGGAGGAACAAGGTCCAGTTGTCATGGTCTGTGTAGGAACCAATATCCTTGGTAGATCTTGGAATACGTCCCCTTGAGCAGGTTCGAGGACTGAGTCCAATTGAAAACAGAATCTCAGCACCAGTCTCCAGATTCTTGTGTGAGCCACACAGGAATTGGCATAGGAGAGGTGGCAGTGTAATGGTATTGTCTCTGGGTTAATAATCCAGAGCTTGGGCTAATGTTCTGAGACCTGGACTCAAGGCCCACCATGGTAGGTGGTTAAAATTTGGATTCAATAAAAGTCTGGATTTGAAAATAAAAATGCTGATCCAATAGTTTGTTGTTTAAAACCCCTTCGCATGCGTTAATGTCCCTTCAGGAAGGAAATCTGCTACACGTGACTTCAGATCCACAGCAATGTAGTTGACACTTAATGCCCCTCTGGACAATAAGTGCTGACCCAGGCAGTGACATCCTCATTCCGTGAATGAAGTAAAAAAAATCTTTGTCTTTACAGTGTAACAAAAAAAATTCTTTAAATAATAGTGAAACAAGGGTCTAGAGAGAATGAGGAACTTAAAGAAATGAGTAAATAAATAACATTGAAGAAAGCAGTAAGACTAAAGATGACAAATTCCTGCTCCTGACGACCTACTCTCCAGGGTTTTGAAGATGGCTATATGGATAGTGAATTCACTAGTCTTAATGTTCCACAATTTCCTAGATTCTAAAATGGTCTGGGTGAATTGAAAAGTCACAAATTAATGCTGCTCTGTCCGAGAGGAGGAATAGGGAAAACAGGGAACTGAAGAACAGGTAGTCTGATATCAGATAAAGAACAAAGATTATTACAGCACATGAACAGCCCCTTCGGCCCACCAAGACTGGGGCAACACACGACGCCTTTCTAAACTAAAGACCTCTTGCCTCTAAACTGTTCGTATCCCTCTATTTCCTGCCTATTCATTTATCTGTCAAGATGCTTCTTAATCCGCTTCTACCATCTCCTCTGGCAGTGCATTCCAGGCACTTACCACCCTCTGGGTTAAAAAAAAACTTGCCTCTCACATTTCCTTTAAACTTTCTCCCTTTTACCTTAAACCTATGTCTGTTCTTAATTGACATTGCACCCTGAGAAAAAGAAGCTGCTTATCAAATGTATCCATACCTCTCAGAATTGTGTAAACTTCTATCAGGTCACCCTTCATCCTTTGACATTCAAGTGAAAGCAAACCAATTTCTCCTCATAGCTAGCACCAAAGAAATATTTTAGAGCCTATTATTTGGGATGTGGCAGCTCAGCGATTAGAGAAGAAAAAGAATCCTTTGATAAGGTTGAGTTAGCACAAATTTATGAACTCAAAAATGCCGTTTGAGACATCTTTTTTGAGTTTGAAGCTGGCGGGGTAGATGAGGGTTATCAAGCCGGTACAATGTATTTGGATTTTCATAAGGTTTTTAGAAAGGCATCATAGAAGAGGCAGCTACACAATATTAGGACTCATGGGATTGGAGTTGTATATGATGCAGATTGAGATTTGGTTAATGGACCAAAAATTGAGCAGCAATGAAGGGATCATTTTCAGGCTGGGGGTCTGTCACTCATGGACCGCTGCAAGGATGCATTTTAGGGCTTAGCTCTTTATAATCAAAATCATTGACCCTGGAAGGGACTGAGGCTAATGTATCTCACTTTGCTGAGAACATAGGGGCACAGTCTCAGATTAACTGGTCATTTAAAATGAGCTGACGTAAACATTCCTCTTTCGGAGGGTTAAAAATCAGATAGTTAGGAGTCCCTTCTTCAGAATGATTGATATGTGGAGTAGGCTGCAGGCAGGAAAGTGACGTTTTGGATTCTAGACAAGAGATAACCTGACACGATAATGGGGGATTCTGAAATTCTGTGAAGGAGTATGGAGAGCTCTTAAGATTTTGGCATTGATCTTTCTGTCATTCTGCTTTTGACCTGTTGTACTGCCATTGTATATTGTCCCTCCTTTCATTTTCTTGCTGTCACGTCCTGCAAGTGTTAATTCTACGCTGGGGCTCCAGAGATGCCCTCTGCCAGATTTCTCACCTATGCCTGACCCCTGGACAGTGACTTCCAGCAGTCTGTTTGATCACAGCTCCAATTCACTTATGTCTACCAAGCACTCTCTCAGCCTCAGTTACTGAGTACAACCATCGACTCTTGCAACACAGAAAGATGCCACTCTGCCCGTTGTGTGTTTGCTGTCTCTCTGAAGCAGATATTTAATTGTTCCACTTTGCTGTTCTCTGCCTATAATCCTGAAAATATTTGCCCCTTTTAGGTATTTGTCCAAGTTCCTTTTGAAAGTTACTATTGAAACTGTTTACACTGCTCTTCAGGCAGCACATTTAAGATTATGACAATTCACCAAGTTTTTAAAAAATCTTTTCATCTCTCTTCTGATTTCTTTTGCCAATTATTTCTACTCTGTGTCTCTCTGATTATTGATTCCTCTATCAATGGAAACAGTTTCCCCCTGTCTGCCCCAGCAAAACCCCTCATCATCTTCAAAACTTCTGGGGAGGGTCGAGGTAGTTGGGTCGTGTTGTGGACAGTGAGGAGGGCTGTTCTCGGTTACAAAGGGACATAGATAGGATGCAGAGCTGGGCTGAGAAGTGGCAGATGGAGTTTAATCCTGAAAAGTGTGAGGTGATTCATTTTGGAAGGACAAACTTGAAAGCAGAATACAGAGTTAATGGAAAGATTCTTGGCAGTGTGGACGAGCAGAGGGATCTTGGGGTTCATGTCCACAGTTCCCTGAGAGCTGCCACCCAGGTGGATAGAGTTGTTAAGAAGGCGTATGGTGTGTTAGCTTTCATTAATAGAGGGATGGAGTTCAAGAGCCGTGGAAGTTATGCTCCAGCTATACAAAAGCCTGGTTCGGCCACATCTGGAGTATTGTGTCCAGTTCTGGTCGCATCATTACAGGAAAGATGTGGAGGCGTTGGAAAAGGTGCGGAGGAGATTTACCATGTTGCCTGGAATGGAGGGTAGGTCTTACAAGGAAAGGTTGAGAGAGCCAGGGCTTTTCTCTTTAGAACGATGAAGGATGAGAGGTGACTTGATAGAGGTGTACAAAATGATCAGAGGTATAGATAGAGTAAACAGCCAGAGACTTTTTCCTAGGGTGCAGGTAGCTATTACGAGGGGACATAGTTTTAAAGTGAGTGGAGGTAGGTACAGGGGAGACGTCAGAGGTAGGTTCTTTACTCAGAGAGTGGTAGGGGCGTGGAATGCATTGCCGGAGAGGGTAGTGGAGTTGGCCTCATTAGGGGCATTTAAGTGGCTATTAAATAGGCATATGGATGATAGTATAAGGTAGGGGTGGAGGTTAGACAGACCTTAGGTTTAGGGTAAAAGTTTGGCACAACATCGTGGGCTGAAGGGCCTGTACTGTGCTATACTGTTCTATGTTCTAGTACTGGCTCTATCCTCCCAACAAAGGCTTATATTGAATGGTTACATCAGCACAGAAACAAGCCCAACAGGTCCATGCTAGTGTTTCTGCACCAGATATCCCTCCTCCCACCCGTCGTCAACACACACCCCAGCAACACATCCTTCTGTTCATTTCATTCTTTTGTGTTTATCCGGCTTCTCCTTCCAATGAGTGAGCATAGATAATCAACAATACAAAAACACCCAACATATTTACTCAGAACAAGTAACAGAAAGCTATTTAAAAAAAAGGGAGTTTTTGGAGTGATTAAAAATTGGAGAGGCCTTGTTATGGAGGCATTTCT